ATCGTAATATCTCAGGCACAAGCTCCACTCCTGTGTCAGTACAAAAACATACATAACAGCTGAGAGGAACAGTGGCTTTGTCTGAACAGTCCCATCAGCTTCAGCATTTTGTCACGATGCATTTCACTTGTGCAGAACCCACCTAGTTGCTTGGCTTGCTTACCCACCAGAGCAATTTCACTGGTCAGTAGGACTGTTAACATGAGCTCACTGCTGAGACAGAACAGCTTGCTATTGCCAATGAAACACATAGGCTGGCTTGATAGAACAGTGCAGCTGAGATCTGGGGCTCCCCCGGTGATGATCTGAGGCGCCTGTACGTTTAGGGAGTCTGGCTGGAGGTTAGGCGTACTGCACAAGTGTATTTAACAGAGTAATAACTCTGAATTTTCTCTTTTCTTGGAGATTGGGCTGAAACTCCCAAGAAGTAGCACAAAGATAATAACTGAAAACTAAGCTGAAATACAGTCACTCTAATTAATAACTATTAAGAAGAGATGGTTGTCAGGAGATAGGTTCCAGGAACATTGAAGTCATCTGGCAGGATCTAGCACCTCTGATTGGAAACTGCCAACACCTGCAAGAGCACTAAGTTGTTATAAAACAGCAGGAAAGGAGCAGCTTGGAGGTTTGATGGTAGAGATTTTTTTTTTGTTTCTTTGGATTTCTTGGTGGTTTTTTTTTTTTGTTTGTTCTTGTGTTTTGTTTTTTTTTTACTACAAACTTGCAATAGAAAGTGGATGAAGTGAGGAGAAAACTCATTCTTTTTAATACCTCTGGATTATCAGGTATGCTTAAGAAGGATGAACTAGAACAAGAAATACTGAATTTAGGAAATTTATTATGCTACTGAAAGTTTGTTAAATCTAACTTTCTACCTTTAAGCAAAGTGATTGCGTTGATGGAATCCTAGTTCCACTTTCTTAGATGACTTGTGAGGCCTTAAGAACTATGAATGGATTAGGATCTTTGAATTCCCATTTTTCTTCGAGAAGTTTTTAAGTTCTGACAGCTCTGGTAAGCTGCTCACCTGCGATACTTAGCTGGTGCTTGCTTGTCCTTTTTTTTTTTAAAAAATATTTAAATTAACAGTCTGCTTCATGGTATTACTTCAGTAACTAAAATGAACAATTTAATGTAGGTAGAGCTATTGATTAAAATGCCAGAACAAATGGAGGAACAAAGAATAAAGAGACAACCAAAAGATAACAGAAGAGAATTGCTTTTACTCCTGGTTGCAGTCTGGGACTCTGCCTGGACACTAAATCACTGTTTACTCTCAGGAGGTTGTAGTAGATAGTGCTGTCACCTGTGGGCAAGATGGAGAGCAGAGTTTATTGCAGTCTAGTTGTTAATACTGTTCTCACTAGAGCCTAGAATAGCAAGTCATTTAGTGTGCTATACATACAGATTTAATTTGCCCATGAGTACATGTGAAGGGCAGCCAAAGGAATCTGGGGGAAGAAGAGAAGATTTAGGGCAATTTTCTCAACACCTAGTGGTAATAGGAGAGCCAGGCAAACTTTTTCCATTGCTGGCTGCCCCCCTTGTTTTTCCTCACCCTGGCCGACCCCAGCTTGTGCTAGGTTTCTTCTGGTTACTATTGTAGCTACTCTGGTAAAATACTGTTGGAGTATTTTCCCTGTTTGTCTGGAAAACAGGACACGTGGTTATTCAGCTGTGATCACACACTGGCAGTAGCACCAATGTGGATGTCAAGAAGTTTCCCTTTTTGCTAACAAGTGTTGAATGCTGTTGTGAGTGGGTTTCTTGGCTACCTAATATTGAATTTCTGGGAGAATGCTCAGGTGGAAGCTCTAAACTAAGGTTTTATAGTGAACACTGTAACTTATAAATGTATTTATAAAAACTGTTTTGATCTCTACTTAAAGAACTGACAATTGGCAAGCTATTTGGGGGGATGGGTGGGAAGCTTTTGTAAAGACCAAAAAGGAAATAAATTTATCTTATTTTCAAGTGCCAATCTTGTACTCGAGTCTGCTATATTTGGACCTCACAGATATGGGTATTAATGCCTCTCTTGGCCTGGGCTCGATTCCTGAATCGGTCGAATAACAAATTCTGCTCTGCTCAGACACTGGGGTTGCATCTCTTAAGAGGTGCCCAGAAGTTCACGGTCAGGTTTGCAGTGAGCTGATGCCCTCTGCCGGCTATAAGGAACTTTTAAAATGTAACCCTCTATTTCAGAGCAGGATAATGAGTTTTGAACAGAACTCTTGCAAAGAGTGAACTGGGCAGTTTAATCGCAAACATTCATGACTCACTACAATATTTTTTTAATATGTGCTTGGAGGAGAGCTGTTAATTTGAAATATAATTGCAGCGAATAAACATAAGAATAGCTCTGGTTACATCTTCCACAATGGTAAATACTAGATGCATTTGTAATTAAAGATCTTTACGTAAAAATATAATCGTTTTAATAAACTGTTTCTCTACTATTAGTAGGATTTAAAAGCATGTGTAACTTAAAGTTGGAGAGAATCACTTAGCCTGTTTAAATAAAGTTATCATTAGCATGATATGGACTGGTTAGAAGTCAGTATAAAGGTGAATAAAACTTTAAGAATGTTTGCGGAGTTAGTGGCAAAAATTACCTTGATCATGATGGACAAGCTACTGCATGTCTGCATATCCTATATTCCACCAAGAAATCACTTGAAAAATGCTGAAAACCTGAATTTATCGAGACACAAGTATGACCAAAAATGTGACTCTAATTTTAGAGGAAAACAAAAAAATTGAAACTGGAAGCTTTATGCTTATGGTTTTTCATGAGAGTAGAACTCAAATGTTTTAATGACGACTCCAGCAATCTGTAGCCATTTCTGTCACATAACAAGTGACTCATATCTGCCTGAACACTTGACCTCTGCGCAGTTGTCACTGCGGGACTTTGGTGAGAGCTCTTGTGCAGTTGTCTATTGGCCCATTCTGGCTAATGTGTGTAACACCTATATGAAAAGGCTAAAAAGAACATAAAATCAGGCAAAAAAAATTTAGTCTTCATAACTCAGTTCTATTTTTTCCCCCTTAGAGGCTTTAATTCTGACTTCTGGATTTATAAAGTCACGGGCTTCATGTATGTCTGTCCGCTTCTGCTGTTTCTGATGTCTTGAATGGTCAGGCAAGCTATTCAAGTTAGTCTCCTTATGTTAGTTTCTAAGAGTTATGAACTTAATTGATCAAAAGAAAACCAAATTAATGCTGAGGATATTATAATGTATCTCCCAAAGATAAATGCCTTTTAGTAGCATAGATAACAAAAATATTAATAGAACACCTCCGAGTTAATTACTTGACTGTGCTATATTGTTATTTGAGTATTTGACAGAAAGCATCCTAGGGCATGTTTCATCAGTTTGAAATTTTCAGCTCCACTAAGGTGGGGAAAAGGGGCACATTCTGTTTCAGGTATGACCACAAGGTTGTATGGGAACATTCACAAGGTCTGCAGAACTCTCATAATGTGACTTTAGAAGATGCTAAATTTGACCATGTTGAAAATTTTGTGAATTTTTCTCTGTGTGAGAAACCAAAACAGTACTTAACGCTGCACTTCAGAGATCACAAATCTGGAGCTTCTCTTCAGTAAACTCAAACTGATCCATAGAATATGTACTATTCTTAAAACAGATTATTTTATTGTTTTTTATTTCTGTCTTTTGAATATGTCAACTTTGTCTACGCATTAATTTTCACAATTAATATCAAAAGGCAAGTTTGAACACGGTACTGGGGCGTATCTGCAGTTGGCTTTTCTCTTTAATGCATGCAGAGTTTAAAGTGGTTATTATACCTGGTCTCTGAACTTATGCTTTAATGAAAAGTAGTTGTTTCCTTTGGCTATTTTAGAAGAAAACACTGTTTAACAGGCCTAGCTGTAGAGTAATTCTGAAAGACGGGGAACTGAGTATATTATTGGGAACAATAGGAAATCACTTTTAGATGATGATAAAAGAGCTTGTGTACTATGCCAACGGGGCAAGTTTGTGTGGTGTTTATAAAAACAGAAAAAAATCTGACAGCTGCGAGCATTTTAAGTCTAGCAAGATGGTAAAGATTTACTTGAAACAATGTTTTTTTAACAGAAAAATAGATAAGGGGAACATGAGAGTGTATAGAAACATACTATTGAACCTAGCACACTAGAACCTAGGCATGTTAAGGAAATGCAGCTAAATGGAAACGCTCTGAATATGTAAGCAGGACCTGTGAACAACCAACACCAAAAAGGCCTTTTTTATTGGAAAAAAGCCTAAGTCTCCTACAGCTTCTATGGCAATCAGCGGTACCCAGTACTTAACGCATGTTTTAAGTCAAACAGCAGTCCTATGTATTTTGTTAGGAAACAGTCTGAGTGATTTATTTGGGGAAAGTACTCATTGCTAGTGAATCTATAAAATGAGAGACTGAATATACTAACTTTTCAGAGACTTAATGGAGATGTAGAAATACAGTTCTAATAACGGGACACTCTAGGCAATTTAAAGTACTGGTAGACTCACATTTCACTTCAGTGAAATGCTTTAACAGTTACTAATTCCAAAGCCTAATTGTGGACTCAAGTAATGAGTCATTCATCGAACAGCTGGAAGCATGTTAATTTTGTTAACTCTGGTCTAGTATATAAAGTAATGAATACATAAAAATTACAAGATTGGATCAGTTTTTTCCCCTCTCACTTTCATTTAATCTAATTCAAAAAGTTGCTTAAGAGATGAAACGGTTCCAAACATGGATCAAGCACACAAGATTAATTGCTGTGTCAGGAGAAGCATGCTCGATGGTTGAGAAAGTAAAATGTATTAAATGCCACTTGAATATAAGGGGAGCCACAGCTTTTACTCAGCTGTGGTGTTGCTATGTGGAAAAGTGTAGTGTGCTGCCCTCCCTAAACAAACTCACATGGTTCTTGTGATATATGTGTCTGGAATCCAAGGTCAAGGACAGACATCCATTGGAAGAAGAGCCAATGCTCTGACCAAAACAGAAAGTATCTTTATTTTTCTAGCATATATATATATATCTAATACAAATGTAGTGTAAATTGATGTTGCTACTTCACTAGGACCAGCAGAGGTCAGTACAACTCAAAGCATAATTTTGGATTTTAGCAATGCAATCTTCCCAACACTTATCAGGAAAAAAAAAGATTATACAACTTTATCAAGTAAGTCTTCAGGAATCAATAGTTATCAGTATTCTCTAATAAATGTGATTCAATAAGCATTCAGATCTTACTAGTCTATCACAGAAATAGTAAACTTATCTAAAACACAACAAAAATACCAAGGACTAACACTAAATGTTATTAAGATTTCAACTATAAAATAGCTTTTCTATAATTATTTTTGTATTGTAAAATTTTAATGTTCTAAAGATAGATAATGCATCAACCAAACATAATTTCAATTAAAAACTGATGTTTTTTTGGTAGCAGTCTAGATATTCTTAGTTTGGGAAGAGACACTCAAATTCACTTCAGCTGCATGGAAACCTTTTCCCTTTTTTCTTTTTACTTGTTTTTAAGGTAGAGGGCTGCTGAAGTACCAGTCCAGTCCAATTACAGACTGGTAACAAATACAGCAAAATTATTTCTATTATACAGAAATCAACAAAACAGTACTAAAACTAAACACTTAAATATAGTTTTCAATGCCTTTAAACACTTAACAGTATTAAACTTGACAGTTTAATAACACTTAAACAGTGAGGCTTGTATTCATAAGGATAACTTGATCTCACATCCCAGTAGCTTGAATGGGATCTGAACTCTTAAATGCCTCTGAATCCATTTAAGTGAACAGGATTAATCTTGTCTGATGTAGCTGGGATAAACTGTAGAAGATACAGCATTCTCTATTGATATTAGAGAGAGCTTTACTAAGCGTGTAAGTTCACTGAGAACTTTTACAGTGTTTCACATAAAACAGATTCAAACCCATGAGACCCTGAACTAGAGATGGAAAACTTAGGGATACATGGAGATGGTACACTCTACAAAACAGTGTATGAAATAGCAGTGAGTGGTTCAGGATATATCACATGAAAACTTTGCACCTTATACTTAAATACAGTGAAAGACTGTTCAAGGAGAACTTACTTAGATGACATTTAACAAGACTGAGTACAAGGTAGAATGAAGTGTGAAAAGTCTAGTATGATTGTTTCCATAATCATGCTGAAAATGAATGTGAAAGCGAGCACATTAATCCTGTGGATTGTGATGAATTCCAATGGCTTTCATTAAACCACAAAACAATGAATGTGTTGTGTTTAATCAAAGCATGGAATATATACACGGGATAAATAATGTGCATATACACTAACCAACATGCTTATTTTTAATTATTTCTCCTCCTTCTATCTCAATTTGCTCATACAGCCACTTGCGGTCACAGCGACATTCAACTCCACACTTGTTGGAGCCACACTTGGGGCAAGCATAGAAACATCCCAGGCAGTCTTCATCAAGACAATCACAGAGGTCCATCCCACTGTAAAGTAGCAGCCCCTGGCTATCGTAGACTTTACTCTTGGCTGGTATAACTTGCCTGTACAATGAAAACCAACAGTTATTTCCATGTTAGAAAGTCCACCTATTTTAATGCCAAGCTGCTAATTATTGTGGACAGAAGTCACCTTTCTTCAGGTGTTTGCTTTGACACTCCCTTAATTTAAAAGATGTATGTATGTTACAGTTAGCACTGAGGAATGTTGTCAAATACAGTATCTCCACTGTAGTGCTTCTGAAATAATTTCAAGAATCAGAAGGTTTATTTCTTCAACTGTACACTTATTCAAGCACAGATGAATATGCTTAGCTGTATGACGTAAACTTCAGATTACCTTTCACACAATGTGAAATGCTCCCTTAATTTACACTTTTGTAATGTGTAACTAATTCAAAAGAGGTCATGTAGAACCATTTAGGGCGCTCACATATCATTACCCATCTCTAACAGTTCTGTTAAACGGCAGAATCACAGAAATAAACTGTTTGTAAGGGACCTCTGGAAGTCACTTTGACCCTCTTGTTCAAAGCCAGGTCAACTCAAATTAGGTTGCTTAGGGTTGCATCGAGTTGAGTTCTGAATAGCTCTAGTGTCAGAGATGCTGCAACGCTTTTGATTCAGTATTTTACTACATACATAGCAAAGGTTTTCCTAGCATCTCAAAAAAATTTTCCTAGTTGCAATGTGTACCCAAGCTGAACAGAAGAAACAAATGGAAGGGAAAAAAGCATGTGTAGTTTGTGAGCAGCACATCTAGTGTCTGCTTCTTTCTTGTAAGGTTAAACTTAGGTAGAGAGCAGGGGAAAGGCGTGTTTTATCAAATATTGTATGACTGGGATTTCTACCACTGTCTTATAATGACAAGACTGAATTGGTCCAAATTTCTAGTGGAAAATGACATACAAAGCTCAGCTGCATACACTTTTCTTCTCTATAAAAAGCATGATTCTAAAATCAGTCACATTAGAACGTTGTAATTTGTTATCTAGTATTGTCCAACTTGGACACTATCTTCCTTTTAAAAAAGGAAGATAAGGTCCTAATTTGCACACTCTTGTTTACAAAGTTTAATTACTGAGTTTATTGAAAGATGACAACTCCATTATTTTAAGTGTAGTCTACTTGATCTTACTGTAATCAAATTGAGCCTATTATCATAAATTAATAGATTCATCTATTATCTGTGTCGTATTGTCATGCCTTACCAAATACTTATTTGCATTCTAATTGCCTGCAGTATGGACTGTATGCTGACACTTATCTTCTGTGTTGTTTTTCTCAGTAATGACAGTGACCTTTAACATCCTCAAAAACAAAAAAGCCATCTAAAAATACACAAACATCCTTACAGAAAATGTTACAGTATTACAGCGACACTGACCATCAAGGCTATTTTTACTTTGAAGTGAGTTAAATATAATGCATATACAAGAACTAGCTCACCTGTCCGAATTAAATGATGCATTTTTTACTTGCGGCCTTCTTTTTTCCCTCTTACTGGTCTCAGGAGTGAATTCAGTCTGTCGTCCTGGATTAGCAAACTGTAGAGACTTTAAGGCCTTAGCTGTACGCCCCTGGACGAAGACAGAAAATCTCAATTAGTTACAAATACAAACCTAAACTCATGAGAAAATGTCTAGTCAAGCCAGACTAGTGTAATAACTTCGGTAAATTGTTGACCTCAACTCCAAGCACTGAATTTCCCAGAAGAAACAACCTGTCTTTAAAATTTTTATACTGAAGGACTGTACCAGTCTCAAAACTCAACAATACAAGCTTTATAGAAGCAGTTTTAATCAATGCTTTCAAATTTTACCCCCATCAGTCTCCTAATCATACTGATATGTAATTGAAAAATACAGTTGGGCAACAGTCCCTGGGCTGAAAGGGACAAAGCTCCTAGAATGCAATTCTGCTTTGCTACAGGGCACAGATGGATGAGCTCTTGTCAATTTGGCTGTCCACACTTGTACTGATTACAAGCATGCATCCTGAACAATGCATCCAGCAATGTACAAGCTGTACTCCAAACTCAGCACTTAAAGCGTTATCCTCCCACCCCAGCTCACTACTGCCCCTGAACAACTGCCATGGCCTTCACAGCTCAGACGCCACAACAGTACACTTAATTCACCTCAATGCAGGTTCACTTGAACTGCTACAGAAACTGGTTGGTGGGGTTTGTTTTTTGTTTTTTTTTTTTTGTTTGTTTGGTTGGTTGGTTGGTTTTTTTCAATTGGAGAGACTAAACAAGAAGTTTATCTCAACAGCCATAGAAGCAACCTTTGCAGTGGTCAGGTTTAAGCACAAGAGCTTGTTTTAGGCAAGGCTTAAGTAACAGCTTGTAATACCAGCAGCAGTCTGGTGTTTACATAAACTTAAGAGTTGTAAATCACCCTAGGAGACACAATCATTTTTCTTTAAAAGGCCATAATATTAATTAGGGAAGATGAATTTTTTTTTTAAGGCCCTCCAAATAAAGGTTTAAATACAGTAAACTCCCACATATCTAAAAAGACTATACCATTTCATATTTCTATTAAACTGAATTTCTTTGTGTATGATTTGTATGCAGCCCATTTCCAACAGCTTGCAGAACTTGAGGGTGGGGCAGGGGGAACTGATCCATATACATACGTCTGAATCAAGTTTTTTTTTTTGTCGATCTTCAGATTCAACATCCACGCTTCCGTTTATTATCTGCATACATTTGGGACAAAGCTTCCAACCAGGTACAAATTGTCTTCCAAACTTGGCACTTAGAAAAGTTGCATCATCTAAGTCAATTGCTCGCAAGTTTTTCTTTGATAGCTTTCTGTGTATATTAAAGGGATCACAGCATGACTTCTGCAAGTCTTCAAATCTTTCAATGTAAATTTTTGCATGGTGGAAGCAGATTGTATTGTTTTCAGAAAGGGTTATTCCCGTCCTAAGCTGAAGTAGCAGCAGATCAGATGAAGATATATCTTGCTTAGTCTTGAAGCCAGTGTGACGGGTATAATAAGTCTTATGGCATTCATTGGTAGCTTGAAGCTGAAGTCCAACTGTGCAAGGATCCATTTTACTTTATCAGAACAACTTTACCTAAAATGAATTATTTGAAGTCTTTTAGTAGTTTCTATGAAGATCACCTTAGAGAAAGCATTAAAATCCATCAGATATGTGCTGGAAACCTTTATCTGCAAGCTTGACAGACTAGGTTTAAGTAATTTCAAAAAACATGTAAAGAATTTATAGCCTTCTAGTCTAGGGAAGACTAAATATACTAAACTTAATTCTAGAATTAAACAATTCATCTCCTATTCCTTTCAGAGGCATTTTTTCCCAGCTACAAGAAATATAAATTCAAAATGTTTAGTAGCATTACTTTTCCAAAAGCAATCGGGAGCAAGGTGGATGAATTGTTTGGAGAGCAGCCTGCTCTGGTCATCAGTTTTGCGGGGGCCCCCTCTCTTGGCACAGTCCTGGCTAGTCAAGACCAGCTGAGAAGATGGCCCACAGGAAGAGACTGCTGATGGCTAAACAATTCACCCATCTGGCTTCCAAGTAGTTTCTAGGGAAAAAAGCTGCTGAAGGTAGGCTGCACAGGCTGTCTGACTGTCAGCTTGCAATTCACATCCAACAGCGCTTTCCTGGGTGTTCTTCCCTTGTACACCAGGTATAAGTCAACACACAGAATCAACCTGAGCTTTTTTAAGAGACAGGACTATACACTGATTGCTGGTTCCAGATGTGTGCAGTTGTTGTGGTTGTGTGGCCTCTGTGGGCAGCTCTCTCCAACCGAGTGCCATGTCTGATGTAAGTACTGGGCTGTTATTTAAAGTTAAACATTAATTCAATTACAAAGCTAGCTACTGCAGAGTGGTCTCACACTCATGCCAAGGTTTGCAGCAAATCCAGTGCTGGCCCTAACACATCAGAGACTAAGCCCATCTTGCACAAGTTGCTACTGCAACATAAAGGTCAAGTTTCTACCAAAAGAAAGGAATCCACTTGTTTTCAAAACCTCTGAGAACCTTAATTACAATGAATACAACCTAACTGGGATATTAATGTTCACCTACACCCTATTCTGCAAGGACAAAAATCAGACAAATTAATAAGCAGTGTAATTACTGGTTTTGGATGGGACAGTTAAATTTCTTCATGGTAGTTTATAAAGGGGCTATGTTTTAGATTTGTACTGAAAAGTGTTGTGTTGATAGCATGCTAACATTTTAGCTACTGTTGAGCAGTACTTACAGTGTCAAGGCCTTTTCTGCTGCTCACACTGCTCTGCCAGCGAGGAGGCTGAGGGTGCACAAGCAGCTGTGAGGGAACACAGCTGGGACAGCTGACTCCCACTGACCAAAGGGATATTCGGTACTGTGGGAATACAATGGAAGATTGGTGAGGAGGCTTGTAAACATGCTCAAGTTACTTGCACCTGGGGTGATGAAAAACACATAAATCATACTAATTGTGGTTTAGCTTTGTGTGTTTGAGGAGTAGAATGTCTGCGTTTAGATAACATAGGCCTGTGAGAGACTCAGAAGCACCTTATCAAATATCCTCAAGATTCCTCAAAGGGGGACCGGGGGTGGGGGGAGGTTGGCAGGGGGCAGCTCTGCTTGGAGAATGGCTGGGTATCATTCAGTTGGTGAGCAACTGTTTTTGTTTGCATTGCTTGTTTTTCTTGGGTTTTATTTTCTTCTCTTTTTTTTTTTTTTTGTGTGTGTGGGTTTTTAATTTTCTTTTCCTTACAATTTTTCTTAAAAATTCCTTCACTTATTAAATTGTTTTTATCTCAACCTGCAAGTTTTTCTCACTTTTACCCTTCTGGTCTTCAATGACATCCCACTGTGGGGGAGTGAACGAGCAGCTGTGTGGTGCTTACTTGCTAACTGGGATTAAACCACAACACAGTTATATGTGCTAACCACTGAACAGGGTAATATGGCTTTTTAAGCAATACAAGTATCAGCCAATTGTATAATTGAAAAAAATCTGGGATGCTACTTTCAGTAAAATAAAATCAAACAACATCACGCATAATCTAAAAATTTATCCAATATACAGAAATATGAACACAGCAGTGCAAAAGTTTAACAGAGAACAATGAGAATTTTGAAATTACTCTGAAAAGGCACAGCCTGGAGCATTTTTGCAACAGAAATTGTCTTCATTGTAATACTTGAGGCTTTTCTAAAACAGATGTGAATATCTGAAGCAATTACACAACACATTTCCATAGATTAAACTGTATACACAGTAATTTAAAGGTCTTGCATAGGATATGCTATTGTCTAGTGATTTAACTGATCCAAATATAAATGATATGTTGGGCTATACTCAGGCCAGTAAACTTGTTTTTAAGTGTAATTTTATATCAGATTCAAGACAGACCTGAGTATAACTCAACAATTAAACAAGTTTTCTCAGCCTATTGTTACGAATGCTCCAGCTTTCACATATAAGTCAAAGCAAGAACAATAGCGGCACAAAGAGTCCCAAGTGCGCGGGCACAATGTTATAAACACCTAAGTTTGTGAAAAAGGGTGCGTATTTCATTCTGAAAATAAAGGAAACTTGGTTCTGTTTGCAAGTTATCTTAAAATAGAAAGACTGTCTTTAATACCTAATACCAATTTCTGAGGTCAAAACCTAAACCCTGTATTTTAAGGATTAGAACTAGTCCAGTCCTAAATTGCTAGGCTATCTGAACACTTCTTCACTGAAATGTCTGTATTCTAAGTTAACTAAGACCTCCCCTGAAGTTTTGACCCTGCACAGCAATTCAGATCTGCACTAAATAATACAACTAAGCATCAATGTCCATGAAGTTAAAAAAATTCCTATTCTCAGTGCCTGTGGAGCACTGAGAGTGTTCTGTTAACTTTTACTACATATAAGTTCCAGTGACTTTGCCTATTTATGTACTTTTTCTTCAGTAGTGACTTTCTTTAAAATCTCTCTTCTAAGACCATCTGTCAAATTTTACCATCTTTGTAAATCAGCTATAAGCAGAAATAATCTTTTTTTCATTAAATGCACAAAGTTTGTCTTTCAAACTAAGGTAACTGGAACTGTGTATGATCAAAGCTCACTGCAGCTGAGTTAACATTTTAACAGCAATTTAGCTAATACCAAATAACTCTAGTCAAAGTTTGTAATAGGCTACACACCAATCTTGCTTCAAATGCTAAAGTGTACTTTTGCCAGATTCCTGCTGTGGAAGATGAGGGTTATGTGTGTGGATGAGGAAGCACAGTAGGTCAGTATAAAAGGCATGATCTGAATTTTTAAAATTTGCCAGTGTGTCAGAACTCTTGGAAGATGTTCTAACTTAAAAAATAATTATTTTCTATTTTATAGAAAAAAAAGTTATCACAATGCTATCCTTGGCAAGCACCTGTTTTGACAGTTGACTACACTACCTGAAACACCACCACATGAAACAGGGGAAAATCACATCAAGTCTATCACCACAGTTTGTTCAAATAGTGTGCTGGTGACCTAAGTTATGGATCTCACCCACTTGACTTATAAGAAATGTTTGTAGAAGCTTCAGATGCATTTCTTCCCCCTGGGAGGAATACACAACTTTTTGACTTCAAATTCCCTTTAGTGGAAACAGGAGCACTTCAAAAACCAAATATCAAAATGAAGGCTTGTAGTTACACCTGTGGAATCATTAGTTACCATTTACCGCACCAAACACAATAACCTGAAGCAGAAGACAGCAATGAGGATCAGCACAGCACAGCACTTGTGCCCAATAAGCCTGCTGCAGGAGCAAATTCAGCAAGGGTTTTCTAGCTTTCCGCTGCTGCTAGAAACAAATGGATGGAGGAAACTATAGATCAGACTGGCAGCACTAGGTATAAGAAGCCAATGGATAAGAACAGTCCCGAAATTGAAGATACGACCCCATGTCTAAATGTTATGCAGGATGCTTAGCAGCTGCACGGCACTGCACGACAGACCCTCGTCAAGCGGTGACAGCCCCTGCCCAGGGCTGCCTGGGGAGAACCGGGCGTTAGTTCAGCCGTAAGCTCGGCTGCCCCTTTGCTTTTTGGGGAGGGCACGATCGCTCCGAGAGGCCAGCTTCCCAGGCCGGCGGCGCGGAGAGGCGAGCGGGAGCTGCGCAGCGGGCCCGCCCGCGCTGAGGGACGGCTGGGCGCCACCGGGACGGGCGCTCGGCCGCTGACAGCTCCTCCGACACGGGGCCCGATGCCTCGCACCACCCCTCCCCGCCGCGCTCTCGCGGCCCCCTCGGCCGACAGAAGGGCCGCCCCGGTACCTCGCCGTGGACTTCCTTCCACCGGGACGCCGGCACCTGGCTTCCGCGCTCCTCCAGCGACGGCAGCGCTGCTCGGAGCGGCTGTTCGCGGCCTCTGGCTCGCCCCAAAGCAGCTGGGCCCGGCAGCGCGCAATGAGGCGGCCAGTCCGTCTCCAATCGTTAAATTCATGCGCGCTGGGCTGGGCTGACGGTGCGCATGCGCTTCCCGCCCCGCTCCCTGCGGAGGCGGGAGTGAGAAAGCGAGGGGGGTGGGGGGAGGGGGGAGGTTCGCCTGTGGCCGCGTGGGAGTTCGTGGGGTCTGGCGGGGAGGGGCCCCGCTGCAGGCAGCGGGGGTGCTGGGGAGGCGGAGGCCGGGAGATGCGGGAAGCGCAGATGGGCTCGGCTGGTGCTGGGGGAAAAGGGCCGGGGACGGTTACCTCAGGGGCTGCTTCGCTTTGTGGCGAAGGGCCGGGCGCGGTGCCGGGCGAGTGGAAGGTACCGAGAGCAGCGCTCGGTCTGAGGGCGGACCGCGGCCTGCCGTGCGTTAGAACTGGGGAAGGTGTTGGAAACAAGTCGGGCTTCGGAGCCGGGAAAACCCCTTTCCCCCCCAAGGCGAAAGTCTATGGAACGAAGGGCTGTGGCCCGCTGGAAGCGGCGGAGGTCACCCCCGCGTGCCTTGCCAGCACCACGGGTGTTGTTGGGTGTTTAATGAGGAAGTTTGGCTGATTAAAATTGGGAAAGCTTTCGGTATTACCTGACCAGGACAATCTCAGGGAGTCTGTAATTATATTTTTTCTCTTTCCCAGGTTCCTCACGACACTATCCTGGCCCTGAAATCGGTGCTACTGAAGTTGTTACTTATTTTAAATAAAATAAAAATCTTGAAAATCTGCTACCTCGTTTAGGAAAAAAAAAAAAAAACCAACCAAACCCGGGCAGTTTCTTGGTCACTAGAATGTCTCTCAAAAGTACGGGGGGTTTTGTGTTTGTTTTGGTTGGTTGGTTAGGGGTTTTTTTGTGTGTGTGTGTGTGTTTTATTTATCTATTTATTTATTCTATAATGTTTTCATGACAATGGATTTTTCCAGAGAGGCAGTATGAAATTTTGACTATTATTTCTGTGTTCTGCAGCTAGATAGTGAAACCACACCCTACTTGTTCTTGAAGGTTTTGGAACAATAATGGTAATAAGCAGAACACAGGTGTCCTATTAAGTGCTTATTAGGTCCTAATAAGTACACCTTATTTAATATGCTGATTTCAAAATTTAATGATGTTGGTGATATCTAAGAGAAAGCCTTATATTACCACTTAATGCCTATACAAAGTTTTGTTTTAACTATTTATGTTTAGAATTTTAGAGCTTACAAAAAAAAAGTCCTTGGATGAAAGTATTTTTTTTCTATTTCTGTCAGGTTGCTCGCTTTCTGGACTGGATTCAACCCAGGATGTAACTGTTCTTTCCAAACCTCTTCAAAAGCAGGCTAGCCTTTTGAAAACATTGCCTTTCTCATAAATGAGATGTGACATGCAGACTTGTTAGTCACTGGGCTGCTCTACCTGTGTTGTTCCTGCCCTGCACGGTAACTGGGTGTTGCTGAGTTATGACACAACGAGACAGAAAAGAACTGTAAGATCATCTGCTAAATGTTACTGCCCATAGTACACCAACATATCACAATAACATTAGCAACAAATTAAGATCACCTAGTTAGTCATTCTAGAGGCTTAGGTCTGACTCCCTAGTTATTTATAGCTAAATAGCTACTAACTGGCTTTCCAGGAGATTTTCAATGGATGATATTAGTAAGAAAGCTGAATTACAGTCAGAATAAATACAGAAAGGCATGGCATGAACTCAAAATAATTTGAATGAGTTGTATATACTAATATCAGTAACAAAATAGTAGTACTAATTACTTGGCACTTGACACAGCTGATGGATAGTATGGTAACGGCTGACAAATTATTTTGGGACTGAGCTAGGGTACTAGAAGCCAGTCTTGATTCGCCACAAACATATGGGTGTGTGTCTAGGTGGTTAAAGTGATTCAAACAGCTTTTGGGCCTGGTTTCATTGGGAGTGTTCTTAAGCTGAAGCTATGTCAGAAGAGTGAATTTAGCAAATGCTAGACAAACCTAAAAGAAACTAAATTTGTCTTAGAGGACAAAACAACTGGCTTGAAATATGTAGCCAACCAAGCTAAAAAAGTTAAAAATACACAACTTTATTGAGGCCTAGCAGTAGTTTTTCATGGCTTGGCTATATTTTGCCATTAGGAGAAAAAAAAAAAAAAACAAAAAAAACACCTTAGCATAATGAGGTACTGAAGCCAGCTGGGCACAAATGTTAGAAACAGCATGAAAGATCCAAAGCAGCAAAGTGGGGAATATTCTCTTGCAGTCTGTTATTCACAGTGGCCTTTGTCAGTACTGGTAAAGAGATCAGCAAAAAGATATTTTCAGGTAGAAATATGATTTTGAAATTGTCTGTATCCCTTTAAAATGTAAGACTGTAAACCAGGGTATCTTTTCATCTAACTTTTCGCAACAGTGTTTAAGAATTGGTGGAATAGTTGTCTGAAAATAATTAAAAGCCTGTGGAGGTGAGAAATAATTTTATACTTGCTTCAGGAGATTCCCAGGGTTCTAAAGCACAGGAATATAAAGCTTTAATCATACTGTGACGGTAACAGCATGTAGGCTGTGCCATTTTCTGTTTCTCCATCTGACCATTAAAGAAAGCCATGATAAATTTCATATATATTGCTTAAGTCATCTATTGGCTCAGTGATGACAGAGACTGCAAAGTGCTATCACACAAGGAGGCTTCAATAAAGCTTCTTCTGCTGACTTTTACTGCTTAGGATGAAATGTGTGGAATTAATGAAGGGGAATAATTCATGAGAGGAAATATTTGAGATACAGGTTGTGACATCAATTTGTATTAAATAAATATAGGAAGAGCAGTGAGGTGTGTGTATTCACTTTTTCAGTGTCAGTGTCAATCTGTGAGGCTGACTGTATAGGGCTAGATACAGATTTCAGGTTATCCAGGCATTAACTTGTAACAAGTCTGACATTCATGGGTTTAGACTGGTTTTGGTGATCACATTAGCTTTTATATGTGTAAATGCAATTGTGCCTTAATGAGGGAGAAGTTTGGAGTTTAGAGTAAAATGATTCTAGATGTGGAAGATGAAAGTTAAACAGGATCATGAGCTAGACTAGAGGCAGTGGAAATATTCCCATATATTTTGGTAATACTGGGCTGGAATTTAAATTTGTTTCTCTGCGAATGCAAGTTGACTCCATATGCCATTTTCATACATAAGTGCATCTGAAAACTGTCAAAGCTTGTGCTGCAAAGGAATATTTTTAATGGATTTTGTATTGAAGAGTAGTAGGAGTCATACCCTCTGAATCCAATTTTGGTCTGCTTGCTAAGATTCAGTGCTTAGTGTGTGCCTCCGTTCACTTGTGTAAAAATTGAATAAAGTAGTATTGACATATATCATCACTTAAAAATTGCTGTATCTTTTTGTCGCCCAAAATTTCCAGAATTTGAAGCAGTGACAGATTTGTTACTGACCTGCAGAAACCACTGGGATAGACTCAGAAGAAAGATGATATTAGCACTGTATTCAATACAGTACAAATTCCGGGTAGCTCAGCTCATTTTCAAAGATAATCAAGCAAAAATTTTTACAGTAGAGGACTACCTGAGAAAGCACAAGAAGTAAGTGTTTTGGTGACTTTTTTTTCCTCCAGGAGCACTACCTGGGTTTTAAGTTTTTTATAACTTTACTTATCACATGAACAACACTGTTTTAAGAGCTTACAGCTTATGCATAGAACACTTCCAGAAATTCAGTTTATCTACATAATATGCAGGTAGACTGGCCTAGAACCCAGAAAAATGTTGATAAGGATCAGAGGTTTGATTTAATTTCTTCTTCAATGTAAGCAAGTTTGAGGATGCTCTTAAATTGTTTTTTATTAAGTGAAAAAGATTAAGATATTCCACTAGTACAGAACCTTATGTGTCACATGAAGTGTCTCTTTTAAACTTGTGTTAAATGACAATAAAATTTGCATATTGTTATATTTGACATATTTGATAGGAAAAAAAAACCACCTCATTTAGGTTATAAATTTTTGTTATAGGCAGAGATCCTATTTCTTCAGAGTTTTTAGGCAAGCATCTCTCTGTGTCTATCTCCTAGCAAATGTGCTGGAACACTGAGTAGACATAGACGTTGTCTGCTTTGAGCTTTTCTGTGATTTTTCTTATGAAGTATTGTCATGTGCTCTTTCAAAAGCATAAAGTCAGAGATAAAAAGAGTGATTGTAGGCAGGGAGAGAGGAAGAAAAAAGCTGACAGTTTTGATAGGGAGCATTTAGGCATAAATGGAAAAAAGAAAACCTTTATTATCAAGGAGTACCCCAGTAAATTCAGTGTGAAGGGGCAAAATTCTGCGTGAGGTGCAGTTCAGAACCTTTGAAGCTGCATAAGAAGCAGGAAGACTCAAGGCAGAAAAGGGTCTGTATCAGTTGAAAAGGTTATTGTGAATTACTAGGAGAAAACAGGTGAGAAGTTTGGATTAAATCCTAAAATGTGTTTGGAAGCTGCCACTCTTCTTAACAACTTGTATATTCCCTTATGCTGTGGGGATCCCCAGCTCAGGGGACTTCTTCCTGTTTGTGACTGAACATTACAGTCTGGTAGTAAGTATTGGCCTGTTTAAATATTGGTTGTGGACTAAAAACATTAGTTTGTGGAAGGGTGAAAGAAAAGGACCTTAGAGAATTTATTATGTTGCTATTAAATTTATGTTGTCCAACAGATTTTTTTGTGTGTGTGTGTTACCATTTGTGAAGTTTTCTTGTCTTTACCCTTTACAAGGACCTGTAGTTTCATTCGAATGACACCTGAATAAATAAATTTTATTACAAATAAGGGTAGGTGCTGATTTAATGCTTTTGCCCTTACAAACTCAAATAAAAACATAAAGACATTAACTAAACCATAAGCAGAGTTATAAATAAGTAGCCCACATGAGTTTTTCCTTGTAAAAAATGTGATGTCAAGTGCTGCATTTTATTTAAGAGTCATGAACTAATGTCACCAACAGAACTGTTTCTTTCACACCAAATCATAAAATTGCCAGAAGTCGAGATATCCATAAAGCTAATGTGGGTTTTGTGTGTGTGTGTGTTTTGTTTTTTTTTGTTTTAAATAATACTAAAAAGTACCTTGGGATATTTTGTAACATGATAATAACTTCTATTTTGTAAGATATGGATATAGAAGTATGCATATACTGGCTTAAATCACTTTCTGGCCTGGTTGTGGTTTGTTTTTATTTCAGTTTGACAATGTTATAAAAGTTATGGATTATTTTAAAATTTTTAATTTAAATTTTGGTCCCCAAATGTTGAATAATTGGATTCATATCATGCTGCATTTTTTGAGTAATAGAAATAATAGAAATTCTCTCAGGCTGAAAAAAAAAAAAAAATCCCCTCAACATTTTGATTTTTACTGTGTCACAATGAGAATCATCCGGTTTACTGGCATCTGACTTTGGGATGCCTCTTTGGGAATCTTTTGCCCTTTCCAGGCTCATTTCTTGGTAGTCTCTATAAATTTATTGCCTGGAACAATCTGTCTGTCTGCTCAGTAAGATCTTTCTTTTTTTGTGTGTGTTGAGCAGCATTTTGGCTGCTACTTCCAATCTGCTCCTCTTGTTTGAGCATCATCAGCTACATCATCACGCTTCACAGATGATGTAGCATCACCCTGTTGCTATGCTGTGTTCTTTGCTTTGGAGCTAAAGAGAACGTGCTTAGAAACATGGATGTCTGCTGTCCTTTGGGATGGGTGTGTATCTCTGCCAGGTTTTTATCTCATTAGAAAGCCCCAGTAGATAGCACTTTGTTCTGACAGTTGTGTCTCAAATGGTGCTGATTTTCAGGACTTTTCTTTACCCATCTGTAAAGGTATTGAATTTCTTTCTGATTGAGAAAGCAGGGACATTAGTTTTTGCTGTTATTAAAAGCAATGTCATTCTGCCTGTCTAGTAGAGACCAACTAATATTTTCACAGACCTAAGGCCAGTTAATGCTTACAGATAAGAGGTTAGGATGTTCAAGGAATTTTGAATTTGTCTTTTGCTAAGAAAAATGTCCTCTCCATGCTTGGTTTGATGGAGAATGAAGGTTGTTAATCTCTAGTGTAGACTTTATGTCCCTGAGGGCACCTGTGCAAGATTCTGTTGGTGCAGTTGTACTGGTATTTCACATGGGAAACATATTTTAATATAGCCTGTGGCTTTAGTGAGGCCCTGCTGCAAGAATACTTTTGCTTTCTGAGCTTGCTGTTCCTAACACATCAATTCTACCACACTTGCTCTGTTAATGTTCATGGAACAGCGAATCCTGGAAAGCTTGTGTCAAGGAATGGCAAAAGCTGACTCTTACCACTGACTATCAAGTGTGTTGCACAACTTCTTATCAAACATAAAGACTTAGTAGTAAAATGGTCACTGCAGCTGAGTGTATACATAAACCAAAAAGAAATCTATCTGTGAGCTTAGATTTTTTTCAGTCCTCTTCTGTTACAGAGGTTGGGCTCTGCACAAAATTCTTTAACTATTTTCTTCAGTTCTACAGCATTCTATTCTGTGACTCACTGTACATCAAACTTTTCTGCCAACAGTAGCTATGGGAATTGCCATGGTTCTTCGAAATCCGTACAGAAACAAGGCAGTTATCCCATGAAACCTTTACTGAAATCAAGTAGTTTATTTATATCTTTTCTATTTTTACATTAGAGAGTGATTTTTTTTTTTTTTTTTTTTTTTTTGTAAAGCATGGGAGACAGTTGCATTGTCCAGCAGTTTTAAAGCCTTGTGACAAATTGGTGACCTAAAACCACACTGTTTGCTCCCTGGATTTCATGCATCATTATGTATTTGGAGAGAAAATGGTGCATTTGTTTGCAATGTATAGGTTTGCTAGCAGGTACCAGCTAATACTGCAAATAGTTGGAGTCTAAACATAGTGGTTTTTAACCTCCAAAAACTAAAGTAAAACCATTACATATTGTTTTAGGCTGTGTTATTTAAAAGTGTTCGAGCAATCAGATCTTGGATGTTTTATCTTCCATCTGTCTCTGTCGTTTTGAAAGGAAAGCCTCTGATAAATGATGGGAGAAAATTCAAGTGTTTCTCATGCCCCCTTCAAAAAACACAATAAATCATGTTCAACCTAAGACCATTTTCTTGGTGTACTCTAGAGTGTCAAAGCCAAACCGATATTATTACTTACTGTGGTGGAACAAACCAATTTATGAGTCCATCAATCTACAGTTTATTGAGAGTGTGTAAGTTACAGCAACAGTTTTCTTTGTAGCTCTTATTGAATCCAAGTAACATAATTAAAAGTGGGCACCTCAGCTTCCTGAGGTAATGAATGTGTTAATATCAGCAACTATATTGACAAAAGAAGGCTTTTGCCAAACTGAAAAGGTGTAGCTATCCTAAAGACAACTTAGAGTTTATTAGTTTTGACAGCAATTATAAGCTTTTATTTTTAAAATTAGAAATTTTCATCTTATGCCTTTGTTGAAAGCTAGAGAACAAGAACGATGGTAATACCATGCAATACGCAGTTAAAATTTCTTTATGGAGGTAGGAGGGAATGGCATTTTATACTTCACTGATACTTCTTGTATCTCTAGGTTTTTTAGTGTCATTCCATTGCCAGCATTGTAGCTGAGGGGGAGAGGACAGTCCTGGTCATTAGGGCCTCTCAGTGAGTCACCACGTGCCCACAAAACACTGAGGGAAGGCTCTGTGTGTGTGTGTCCCACCCCTGGTTCCCCAGAGCAGCTGGAGGCTGCTTTAGGCCCGTGGTGAGGGCTCAGTTGTGAGTTGCTTTGAGATTCCAGGGTTCCAGAGTCTGTTTTTTTCACTATATCTGAACACCTCCTAGAACATCCTCAAATGACTTGTTAAGGCAGCTCATACCACAAACTGGGTTCACTTATTCACGTCTTAATATTCTTCTCTTTTCATTGTCAACTTCAAATGTTCTTTTTAAGTTTTTCCCTGGGTAAGTTGCATACTGGCTTTACAATAATGACCTACTATCATTTTATCTGTAATGGTTTTCTCCTCTCTGTCTTGGAGGTAGTTGCAGTGTGTAAATCTGCTCGTGGATTTCTGATAAAATTGTGCTTTCCCCCAATACTATTTCTGATATAAGCATTGTTTGTCTTCTAAGAAATATTCATCACTATCATATCTCAAAGGTTTTGTTTCTTGTGGCAGTAACAAGAATTTACTATGAGCTGTAAACACACTTACTGTGGAAAAATAAATTATTCAACATTTAAATGAATTTATGTTTGGACACTCCACAGTTTTCCTGAACTTTAATAGTTTGTAAATTGTTAAGGATTTTTTCTTCTATTTTTACTTTGGAATACTTTGTGTCATTCTTAGACACTGGGAT